CTTCATGACGAATCTGCTGATTTCATACAATTCTTTAGAGATCAAGGAGTGATCACGGGGAATAAACTGGGATGTGTCCAGTGTTCCAACCAGGGAACCCCAGTCCTGCTCGGCTGAGACTACTGATTTTCATTTGTTTGGGGTGCAATGACATGAACTCAGGATCCCACCTTCTGTGAGTCATGTCTACAGCCTCTGAGAACCAGGCCAGAGTGAGGGGAAGAGGTCCCCGGCCCCTCAGGGACCCTAGGGCCCCTGGATCTGCCCACAGGATGGGCAATGGGCTTCAGGACCCCCTAGAACCGTGTGCACGCTGGGATGCATGTCTATGGGGACAAGTCCTCAAGCCCCACTTTCCAGGCAAACATCTGAGTGGGAACTTTAGTCGCCGTAACAACGGCCACCCCTCCATTTTGGATACTGTAGATTTCCCCTAAAGAAATGTCCACACCCCAATCCCATCCTGTGAATGGGATCTTATTTGGAAATACGGTCTTTGCAGATGTAATTATGTTGCAGGTCTTCAGATGACATCATCGTGGATTTCGGGTGGGTCCTAAATCCAATGACTGGTGTCCTCCTCAGAAGAGGAGATGACAGACACATGGGGAAAAGGCCATGTGAAGACAGAGGCAGGAATTGGAGAGATGCATCTACAAATAAAGGAATGCCAAGGACAGCGAGAAGCCACCGGAAGCCACCAGAAGCCGGAAGGGATGCGAGGAACAGACTCGCCCTCACAGCCTCCAGAAGGAACTAACTTTGCTGACACCTTGATTTGGAGCTTCTGGCCTCCAGAACTGTGAGGGAATACATTTCTGTTGTTTTAAGTCACCTAGTTTGTGGTAATTTGTTATGACAGCCCTAGGAAACTCACACAGATTCTAAATCCCAATTCCCAGGAAGACTGCAGCGTTCTTGTCAGCACCTCTCTCCTACCCTGAGGCCCTGGAAGTCACCTGTGTGTGCAGGAGGACGGAGGCCACGTGGCCAGCTTTCCCGGGGAAACAAGAAGGAAGACAAATGCAAAACACGAGCTCTTACTTTCAGGGAGCACTGTTCACATCCACCCAAAGAATTAGGCTAATGCCTCATTAGAATGTCTGCAGTAAACACTGCCTGGATTTCCCCACAACTACTCTCTGGGGAAAGAGTCAGGGAAATGACCTTGGATGGGTTAAAACCATTTGGAATATATTAAGGACAGCAAATGTATCAAGAATAAGTATCCAAAATAGATCTTAAAAAGCTGGAACTGTCACACTTGTGTAGCAAGTTGAAATGTAAAGAGATAAATGTAAGCGTCCACATTTTAGTCTTTAAAATCAACTAAACAATGATGAAGTAGGCAAAAAAGGCCAACGGGGAAAATATGTAAGGAATTTAGTTGATAAAAACTCCTAATAAATCATCACAGAACTTCAGGGACACTGATGCAAACTCAGGATGGATTAACAGAGGTAAGGCACTGAGAATGTGGGAGGGTTTTGCTCTGCTCCTCCCTGGTGGACCCCAAAGGACAAAGGATGCTTGCCCGTGGTGCTGCGAGCCAAACAATGAAGGGTAAGGAGCTGTTCCAGCTGGAGAAGCTAGACTCAGCAGGAAGGATGCCAGCTTCATCAGGCTAAAAGGTTGTCCAGAGCTGGGAGAAGATCTGTCCCATACTCCTGAACGGCTGACCAGGGAATAGAAGATTCGGGAAGAAAGTCTGGTTTGATTCAAGGGAAACTATCTCCAGCTGGAACAGTCCAGCATGAAATGAGGGGCCTGAGCAGCAGGAGGCTCTGAGCTGGAGGGAATGTGGGCCCCCAGGCAGAATGAGAGCCAACTGATTCTCACTCCCAGCCAGCCCCAAGTTTTGGGGCTGCTAAGCCCCCTCCTGCAGAACCACCTTATTTTCTTACTCTTAAACCATCCCAAACAGATGGGTGTTACATTTGGCCAGGACGGCTTCCAACAGCAATTCCAAATATAA